ATACCTAGAGGAACCGTTGGCAAAAATTTTTGCCGAGACACCATTGTGCCCTGATTTCAGCCAAATTCATCGAAAAGCGCCGAATCCAAAAAATAACGCCGAGCAATATGAAAACTGCCGACTTCAATGGTTTTCAGTTGCTAGATTCTCAAACCAACACTTGCCAGATCTTGCCAGTCTTACCAAGCCCTTCCCCGCCCCTTTCCCAAACCAAACTACAGGGTGACCATCCACAGTTTGGGCTTACATATGAGGACCAAGGGATTGGCATCCACAGTTTGGATACCTTGGAATCCTTGCACGGCACAGATGAGAGTTAATCCACAGTTTGGGAGTGCTTACAAAGAACACACTTAAAAGATCCAACAATGTTTTCCTAAGTTCATGCCTTGTCTTCCAGACCTTCTTGATATTTCCCCTACGGTTTTCTTGAAAGGCCAATCCAGGCAAGCAAAGTTCTGTCTTTGCTTCTCCGGATCACTCTCCAAACAATGCTTTGCCGCTTTGTCCTTTCATGATCCAACCTCCATTGACAAGGGTGGTTGTAGAACAGCTGCAACACACAATTGGGCCAACAAAAAGATCTTTCCAGTGCAGCCATCCAAGATGTTGATTCTTATATATAGGAAGCCCCAACTAAGCAAAAACATGGTTACGGACAATTGCGCCGAATTGTCGGGCAATTACGCCGAATTATCGGAGATTTACGCCGAATTATCGGGCAATTACGCCGAGATCTGGGGATGACAAAACGTTTGAAAACTATGAACAACTTGACTGCCACGATTCACGCAAGGGTGCCCGGTTGGTTCACGGTGAGTTTATGTTGAATTATGCATGGTCCATGCACAGTCCTCTAACTTTCACCTTGGTGATGGAATCAACATCTCTCCATTCACCGAATATGTTCAACAACAGCTTTGTGCCACTGCAAAAATAGGAAATCAGGGAAGAGGGTTGCGTCGGGCCGCAGAAACCATTTGGCATTTCTGCCAGGCCTTCTCTATTATTCTATAATTTTAATAAACGGTTTCCTTGATCGGATCCATGGCTGGATTTGAGTGTTTACAATGAATCCCTAAGCCAACAATGCTTGGCAAGAGTTAGGAACTACACACTGAAGAAAAACACTGGGCGTGAACAGCCAGGGCGCACCTCAAGAATGCCCGGTTCACCAGGTATTTGATCCCTAGAGGATTGTCGAGCCGAGTTATCATGAATCACCACAACCCGGATTGGTTCTGCATCTAATCAACCAATCAATATGTTCAAGAACCTCAAAAACCAAAAACGCCGAGTCTATCTTGGTTTTAGCAAATTACGCCGAATGCCCTTTTTCAGGGCAAATTACGGGTAAAGGCGCTTTTTGCTGAAGTGGCAGAATTTTTGGTGCATTTGGAGTCTCTAGGTATGTCCGCAGTTTTCAGTTTCGGTGGAACAACCGAGGAAATTTGCTTGAGGCGTTGGCCCGAACGTGGCCGCAAGTGTAAAGAAAATACACCTGCAAAACGCGTGCGCGCCAAAAAAAGAGTGCACTTTCTGCTCTTCCCCAATCTAAATTCCACCTTACAAGTGCTGACCCTTGTGAAAAATGGGATGAAAGCACATATGATTCCAAACTCTCCCATATGAAAAAAAGAAAAACATGGGTGGTTTTGAGCACTGTCCACTTTGGCAATGTGCGAATCGCACAGGGTCACTATTAGCGGCGGTACCTTGTTTGAGGGTAGGATGTGAGGGCTGGATCTTGCTTGTCTTGGGGGGAGCACATATATATATATACATGCAGTCAAGCTATGTATACCTCATGTGCATGCGTTTACCGGTTATATTTACGTCATATAAAGTTATATATGATTGCTGACTGGCAACGAGTTGCAACTGCGGATGGAAGATTCAAGGTTCAAGATTCAAGACTACAGTACTGGCAAAAGTTGTTCTCGAATCTTGAATCCAAATGCAGTTGCAAATCACATTGATGGAGCATTTGTTTTTCAAATCTTACATCAAACAGAAATCCCTTCTTGCAACTAGCGGCAACTAGTACAAAATATAGAAACAAATGAAAAAGTAAAAAAACAAGAATATGCATCAAACATATACATAAAACGATACCGAGAAACAAGTGCAGCAGTCTTAGTTCTTGGCTCCAGGGAGGAACTAGTTCGATCTATAGTAGCCAAATGACCCTTTACGATAACCTCCTTCAGCCTTTTCATAGTAATTGACAATAGTAACGCGGACAGCTTTATTGATACAGTTGCCATCAGGCGGTACTTTTGACGAGATTGATCTTGAAGATATTAAGACTCCTGGTTTTCGTAGAGAGTATAAATTGCCAACAGAGACTTGATAAACAGACTACTTTTTCATGATGATCAGCATGTTACTGTTTGCATCGTTGATGCACACTTCAGGTACAGTGAGACAAAGCGTAGTAGTCGCTACCGGGAGATTAGATTATCTGAGCCACATGAACAATGTATTTTCCCTAGATGTTTAAAGATTTGCTGGCTTCAAGGACGAACCATGCCACAACAATTATGACAAGTAATAATTGGATGTGCACATAACAGGCAAGAGATGGACGTTAGTAAAGACTATGTCATATCTAGTGTTTGGTGCTAGATGGTTTTAACATATTTTAACAGCAAACAATATATAAAACCTGTTGCGGAGTCTGCGTGATTTGAGATCACATTAAAATGAGCTGAGCTCACTACATGGCAAGTCTATTGTGTATCTGAAATAGCCTATATTTGTATAGTTATGCAATTCTATGTCAAAACCCGTGCAATGTAGTTTTGTTTAGCACTTATATCGATGGGTGAATCCTTTCTTGAGAGTCTTCTAATACCTTCAGCAGAAATGGTTTACACATGATTTATCGCAAATCTTGTTGTATTTCTGAGTAGCGTCGCTTCCAAACAAATCCATTAAGGCTGTTGTTTTTTTCCAAACAATTGAATGGCGTAGTCATGTGTAGTCATTTTTGCAACATGCAAATGTACTTGAAACATGTATTGAAGCTGGCATGTTGCAATTATCTCCTGTTGAGAATGGTCAAGTAAACATGTTATTCATTATACTTCCGCACGCTCCGGTTGTTCAGCTGTCAACTCATATTGATGGTAATGTCCAGTAGTGTCCAGTATTTTGCTTGGTAGATGAACACAACACCAATAGATGCAAAGAGGACATTCCAGGGGACAATATACCAGAACACAGTTCCTACTTTTTAGTATATCTGCAGTGCACAAAAGAATTGTGCTACTGATGTTAAAGGTAATTTGCCAAGGACGACTGATCCTTGATGTTACATGTTCACAATTGGAATGTAATCTCGATCAAAACACCAAATAACCAAATAGAAACGTCCCCGATTTTTTTTGGTGTAGGTACCAGGGGTAGGTACCGGATGTGGGGGGAAGAGCCAGTTCGACATATACAAGAAGTCCAGTTCGACGTGATGTTGCCCTGAAACTTGCCCTGAAGTGAAGAAAGTTCCAACTTGGGGGTCGCTGAGTCGGAAGATGCTTAGCAAAGTCAATTGGACTGCCAGGGTCTGTATATATGTACATACACATAATATAATAATAAGTATAATATACTAATTATAGCTATACATATATATACTATATATTATTATCTATATATATATATCAGATCTATAGAGCCCATTTGAACCCTGTCTTGATCGTATACGGTCATCCGAGCGTGCGGCGGGCTGATCGGTCGCCCAGTCGGGCTGGTCGTGCGTGGGTGCCCCGTGAGTCTACTTATCAGGCATCCTCAAACAAACAACACTCACAAAAACACAACCCAAGAAACAAAACAACATCTGATTGAATCTGCTTAATGTGTTTTGTTGTTTTGTTCTTTGTGTTTTTTTTGAGGAGCAAAATGGAGCAAATATGGGCAAATGTAGGTCAATCTGCCAGTCCCATGGAGTCGATGGAGTGTTGGGGTATTAGATACCAGCACCGCAGCACCACCCCCTTTTGGTTGAATGGAAAATTCATCGTCAGGTTTTTGTTGACCACGCGAAATGGGTGGCGGTTGGTATTTATCAGGCTTTCAAAAGCTTCGCGTCTTCATGAGTGGATGGGCCCTGGATGTAGGCCCATACTCATGAGTGGATGTTCTGAGATCATCACCAAACCCTCCACTGGGAAGCCGCACTGGCAGGAGCAGAGCTGGGCCATTTCCCGCTGCAGCCGTCCAAAAGGCTACCTCGCTCCGTCCCGAAAACCGGTCGGGACCCCCGGGTCGTGTCCGACCGGTTCGGAGTCGTCGTGGGTCGTGACCGACTGGTCTGCGTCTGAGTAAAGACGGAAGAAGAAGAAGACATGGAGAAGACTGGGTGAGTCAGTCGTGCGACTGTGAAGCACCTGTTGATCCTTTTATCCTGGATCATGTGACGTTTTCCAAGGACCCGCGCAGAGATCGATGATGATCGATGTGAACGATCGAGGTCACATCATGGTCCCCGCTTCCTATGGGAGAGGCATGACGATCCCAGCGGATCCAAGCATGACATCAGAAAACGAAGCAATCCTGCCACCATGCACCACGAATCTCCAGCACCGCGCCAACTCAGAAGCAGGACGACGACGACGACGACGACGACCACCATCACCACCACCACCATCACCATGTTAGACCTTTGACTCTTAAGTACTCCAGGTGCACCCATCCCAGACTCCTAGACCCCTAAGTAGTTGAGGGTATCCACTACCTACAACTACAACTATAGGAATACCAGCCACTACCAGTGGGTAAGCACCGCTCAGATCTGCTCCGAAGCTCAACTGGATCTTGGTGGATGCCGCCGATGCCACTGACCGTCGGGAGCCTTGGACGGCTGAGGAGCTAAAGAACAGGTAGACTCGGTGGACGAGCTGATTAGTTATATCAGAGGGGCTTGCAAAAATGACTCTCACTTTTTTTGACTCTCAGTTTTCTTGTTTCTGACGCTAATGATATTGATACTAAAGAAGAGGGGGAGGAAAAAGATGAAGATGCTCTCAGTTTTCCTATTCACCTTTGATTTGGATGCTAAATCAGAAGGGGAGGAAGAAGAAGATTTCTTAACTTATGATTCATAATATTATTAAACAGTTGAGTCTGAACTTGAGGACACATTAAAAAAATTAAGTGAGTCTTGTGGACCGTCAAGTCTGAATGGCATCATGTATGTATAAGCGAGTCTCTCTTGGAGAATATGCTTTGGACAGATAATCTAAATTTGAAGGTAATAAGTGATTCATGTAACTGACTATTTTGAACGGTTGAGTCTGAATGCTGCATTATGAATTAAAAGATGGTCTAGGGCGGGGGGAGGGGGGGTAAGGTGCCCAACACCCCAAAACACAACATCCAAGAACAACTGAAGTGTCCTTATAATATGTCAGGATGTCTAGAATCACTCTAGGGTTGGTAACATGATGTATTATTACTAAATGTCACATATCACATCTCTGCAAAGAAAAAAGCGTCCGATACTTGAGTTTATCAAGTATCTGGATGTGACCTGCAGGTTGTCCTCCAAAAACTTGCAGTATAATCGGAGGTTTTACATAAAAGGTGTTGGGGGGTTGAACCTGCTGAACCTGCGGGGCGGAGCCTTGGAAGATCCTGGATCTGCTGGTGGGAAGGTGGGAGGATGGGAGGGTGGTCCAAATTCGTGCCATCAACTTCAAGCTCAATGCTTGGGCCGTACATCTGGCATGTTTGGATGTTGCAGAGCACTTCAATGACCTATCACTTACCGTAGCTTTTCTTATTGCCGTTGCCAGCCAGGTTGGGTTCTACCCTCAGAGTGACAGTTGCATCTTCACATCAACTCATGACTCAATCCTTTATTCTAGTCAGACTGACACTCAGATTCGGTTTCTCTTCCTGTTCAGATTCACAGTCACTCCTTGTCACATTCATATTCAAATTCCGGATTCAGCGTAGGATTCTTGATGGAGCTCATTTCCAAGGAATGGACGCTTGTCTTTTCGCACTTCAATATCTTCGAAGTGCACCCGGCGCGTTTGGAAGTTCTGAAGTTTATGATATGAGCGAATGCACCTGGATTTGTGATTGGCTTACTATATCTGCAGCGGTCTTAGCTCTTTCAATCAGCCATAAGACCTTCACCATCCATCACCACTTCTGAGCAATGGTGCGCCATTCCACCACTTCTGAGCGGTATGAGCACAAGTGGAAGACACATGTTGCAGGCGGCTACAAGTGCCTCGGTTCAAATTTTGAGCAGCACGTGTTTCCAGGCCCGATGGCCATGCCAAAACCGCTCAGGCTCCAACATTTGAGATGGGAGGGGGACGAAGTGACGGAAATCTGGACGAGGGACTTTGAGAACAAGGGCCAGCAGATCCAGGGCCTGAAGATCCAGCCGAAAGTTGAAATAAAAAAGATGCCGGTGGAACCGGAGGGGAAGAAGGCCATGAAGGCCATGAAGGCGATGAAGGCCATGAAGGAGACGAACGCAATGAAGGCGAAGAAGACAATGAAGGCCAAGACGGCCAAGAAGTAGATACGGCCAAGAAGGTGCGAAAAAGGTGTCAGACAACCATCTGCCGAGCCAACTTGAATGAAATTGAGTATCCATCTAGACCCAATCAATGTCGAATTCAAAGCTTTCATCCGCCAAGCTTATCGTGTTTTGCAAGCATGACAGGTGCTGGTGCAGACAGAAGGCAAGGCAGACAAGTGTCAAAAATGGGTTCTTGATCCATTGGGAATCCGAGTTTGACAAATGATACACACATGTCCCACGTGGTTTGAATCTGAAACAATGCGCAAATGTCATGTGACAGTGTGTCCATTGCTTTTGGCAAGGCTTTCAACCAACAAATCGTTGACGTTGGCAGGTCAAATCGTTGTCGAGCACGCGCACTTCGAGGTTGCGCAGGTGGCTCCGGCATGCTTTGAACCAGTCGCAGTTGACAAACCAGTGCAGCGGTTGATTTGGCAAAATTTGGCAACATGTTGACTGAACATTCAGACTCAGAACGATTTCAGACCCGGCCCAAAGTCTGCACAAAGCCAGACTGCACACAACAAGCATAAGCCAGGCCTCCGTCGAAATCGTAAGCCAAATGGCCAGCGCTGACAAGGATGGTGCTTTAACTGCGGCCGACCCTCTGGCCCGTCAGCCAGACCTGCTTGATCAAGGTGCTAGATCATGGAAGAAGCTTGAGGCCAAGGACGTGCTTGGATGTATTCAGTGGAAGCCTGGGACGTACACCGTGGTCGTTTCGGAAGATGGCACTCCTGTGACTGAGGAGGAGGTTGGGGGTGGCCTCCAATGTGGGAGTTTTCAGTAGACTTGAGAAAGGCTTAGGCTCGGACCAGGACCAGGAACCTTGTCTTCGTCCCAGCCTTTGCCTTTATCAAGTCGATTGACAGGTGCCACATGACACAGACTAAATGGTCGGCGATATTTTTGTGATTGTAAAATTGTAAATTACTGGCGTCATCTTTTGATTGAGTGTCAGAAAGTTGTTGCCGGCCACCAGGCGTATCATCCGAAGGCTTGGACATACAATTTGTCCATCCAGGGTCCTGGCCGAGATGTGAAGATTAGCGGTACCTTGAAACCTTTGAAGAGGTCCGCAGATGAAGCTGGGCTTCCCCCTGCTAGGCCTTTCACAGTGGTTCGAAGCTGTGACACAATGATGGCCCAGATCCGAGAAGACGCACGACGTTTGGACGAGACGAACCAGGAGGTACAGGCCACTCAGGAGTTCGATACGGTCTTGGATGACTAAAGCCCTACTCAATGACTTGCTGCCGCTTGATGTTCCTGAGATGAAAGGATGCCGGCTTGATCAAGAATCCTAGCATGGCTAGATTTTGTGATGGTCTTGTGGGCCTGGATTTATTCATAAATTGCAGTGGATGGAAAAAATGCGCATGCAGCTTGGTTGATGGCAGCGGGCATGTCAACTTCAAACTCATGTTCATGTGACAGCCAATCACATTCAAGCTCATGTGATTTATGCGACAGCGCAATTCAAATTCAAACTCAGTGGCAAACTGTTCCATTTTTAGTTGCGACGAGTTGAATTGCAAAATGAGGTTCACGTTTCCACCTTGCAGCGAATCATGCAGAAATTGGGTTCAGCATCATTTGGAATCAGGTAACGAAGTGCCTGCTGACGTTGAAGGCGAGCAAACGTTCATGTCTTGGAAGGCTTCATCCAAGAACATGCCGAATTTCATTTTCAACGTTCCAACATGCTTTACTGCAAAATCTTGTCACTTGAAAACATTGGGGAGTGAATTTCTGGCACGAAGATTCGTGGGACGGTAAAGATTGAAAGAAATCAGAATCAATGGAATTAAGTAAATCAGAATCAATGTCACATTAGCTTTGAGTTTAGTTTCAACCTTTCACAGCTGGTAGCGAATTCGCTGGCGAAGGATATTGCGTCCACAAGACTGCTGCGTGCGAGCTTTTGGCTTTTCAGGCTGGCCGGCGACTGACTGGGCATTGAACAGTCCAGAAGTTTTGAACTCAACCTTGACCAACAACCTTGCCGCATTCAGAATCAGATAAAGTCAGTGTCAGGCGCTACTTCAAAAAGACTCCCCAGGAAAACGTGACCACAGACAGTAGTAGACTGTTGAAGGGCTAAGTAGACAGTTGCAGACAGAAGTAAACAGTGATCAGGAATCAGGAGGGGACCTTTTGTATTCTGCCACGCTGCCTTGGAGACCTGGTTGGAAGATGATGATGATCCTGTCCCATTTCCCATGTGTCAGAGCCAAGGCTGGGTTTTGAACTTGAAGGGCTTCATTGTGGTGTGGGCAAAGTTTTTCATCACGTGTGAAACGGCAAAGACTGTCATTGGAGTGCACTTCATTGCAACCATTCAGAGTCATTGTCAACTGGCATTGGAGTCACTGTCACGGTGCATTTGTTTTCAATGCTGCTAAGTTTGAGAATTCATGCCTTGATGCTGCCAGATCATTGTCACCGACCTTTGTCATTGACACAAGTCATCAACTCAGCATTTGAGCTGCTTCTCGACTGCTGCTGTGGAACCTTTTGATTCTTTCAAGTATTTGTTTGAATACCATTTTCGGTTGTTTCAGGCTGCAATTGGGACGCGGCGGCTGCGCGTCACAGGTTGGAATGTTGGTGTCGCAGGTTACAGTTTCGCAGGTGTCAAAGCCCGCATAAGCCAAGATTATATAGTCATGAGGTTCGTGCGCAATGCGCTGTGATGTCCGTTCACCCCAAAGCTAGTGAAAAAACGAGTGTGACAAAGTCAGGGCAACATGTCCATGGAGCTCCGCCTCGCTGTGTGGCCTTTCTGCTGCAGGGTTTGGAGCCACGCAGTGGGCTGAAGCGACTGCTGCGCCAGGACCGAATGCATGGGCGGATTGGATGCTGCAGCCGAAACAGTCTTTCAGCTATCATGTGACATGGTTTCAAACTCTTATGTGACATGATTTCAAACTCTTTGTTTCAACCTGTGACAGCAACACATGTGAGAAGAAACCGCTGAAACCCCTATGTGCCATGATCTGAAGAAAGCGTGACAGCTCGAGAACTAGGTTTGAGCGCAATCCCTAAGTACAGCTCTTACCTCCGTCCTGCCACTTTCGACTTGAGCGATGCCAGCTTTCGATGGCGGATGGCCCAACAAAGATGCAGCAATTCGATTCTTACAATCTGTTGCCGGGGAGAGAGCGTGCCCATCGTGCTACTACCCGTACTTGAAGGGTTACCTGACCTCTCCTGAGAGACACAGTGTAAAGGCTACTTCAAAAGATTGCTGGTGTGATCTGTGTGATCGTGAAGGCAAAAAGGAGGTGATGATGGTCACTGAGCAG